TGATCCCAGGGTCCTGGGATCGAGCCCTGCATCGGGCTCTCTGCTTAGCAGGGAACCTGCTTCCTCCTCTCTCTCCTGCCTGCCTCTCTGACTACTTGTGATCTCTATCAAATTAAAAAAAAAATAACCATTCAAAGTCTTAAAAAAAAAAAGAACAGTAAATGGGCCTTGCCTTCAACTTTAAAGTCACCAGTTGTATCAGCCCTTAACAAGAGAGTCAGCCTATTCTTTGAAGCTTTCAAACTAGTCATTGACTTCTCTCTAGCTATGGAAGTCTTAGAAGGCATCTACTTCCAATACAAGGCTATTTAATTTACACTGAAAATCTGTTATTTAGTGTGCTCACATTCATTAATTATGTTAGCTACATTTCTGGATAACTTGTTGCAGCTTCTACATCAGCACTTGAGCTGCTTCCCCTTATACTTCTGTGTTATGGAGAAGGCTTCTTTCCTTAAACCTCATGAACCAGCCTCTGCTAGCTTCAAACTTTTCTTATGTAGCTTTCTCACCTCTCTCAGCCTTCACAGAAATGAAAAAGGTTAGGGTCTTGCTCTGGGTTTGGATTTGGCTGGAGGGAATGTTGTGGCATATTTTATGTTTTATCCAGACTACTAAAACTTTCTCCATATCAGCAGTAAGGTTGTTTTGCTCCCTTATCATTCACTGGAGCAGCATTTTCAACTTCTTCAAGAACTTTTCCTTTGTATTCCCAACCTCATTTACTGTTTGGCACAATAGGCCTAGCTTTTGGTTTATCTCAGCTTTTGACTTGCCTTCAATAAGTTTATTAATTTCTAGTTTTTTATTTAAAATGAGAGATGTATTTCTCTCTTGAACACTTAGATACCACTGTAGACTTATTAATTGGCCTAATTTCAATATTGATGTGTCTCATAGAACAGGAAAGCTCAAGGAGTTGGAGAAAGATGGAAAACAGTTGGGCAGTTGAGCAGTAAGAACAGACATTTACTGATTAAGTCCATCATTTTATATGGGTGCAGTTCAGGGCAACCTGAAACAATTACAATAGTACATCAAAGATTACTAACCACTGATCACCAAAACAAATATAATAATAATGAAAAAAGTTAGAAATGTTACAAGAATTACCAAAATATGACATGGAGACATGAAGTGAGCAAATGCTATAGTAAAAATGTCACACAAAATCTTGCTTGATGCAGGGTTGACACAAACCTTTAATCTGTAAAAACAAATCAAAACTATCTGCAAAGTACAATAAAATAAGGTACCCCTGTTTATACTTCCAAAATGTGTTTTCCTTTCTTAAGTGGGGAAAACTCTTTGTGTATAGATATGTATGCACCAGGGCGTGGGTGGGTGTGTGCATATGAATGGCATGTGCAGGATAAGGAGATATTAGTACGCATTTGGGGAGCTGGTGAAGGGCTCTACTTCATCTAGTGGTGGTTGCACCTTGTCTGCCTCATAGCTTATTTTCTTCCCTCTTTTCCATCTCCTTTCTTTTGTTCTAGTCTCCTCATCCCCTTTCTACATATCTGCATACTCCCTTACAACCAATTGAAAGCCTAATAAATGGGCTGGCAAAACAGACCAGTGTGAGATTTGGGGCCTGTGGTCTGAAACACAGTATTGGGAGTGTGACTGAGATAGGGAGGAAGGACAGGGCTGGATATGTGGTCAGAGTCAGGAGTGGGGAATGGCCTGTGGTGGAAAATCTATTCCTGAAACATTTTCCATTTCAAATTCTACCATCGGTATGCATGAACACTGAGTATGAATGTGTTTCTTTCTGGTCCTGGTCCTGGGGGTCTGTCTAGCTTCCAGCTTGTCTTAATTAGTTCTTTGTTGTTGATGATGGCATGTTGCCATCATCACTTATACTTAAGCTCAGAAGTGACATTATTATTATTTTTTAACAGAAATAGGCTGCTCTGCTCATAACTTCTAGGGATTTGAGACTAGAGCAGTTAAAGATCTGTAAATAATAGTTAATATGAGTATCAGCATTTGTTAAAATATGTATGCCATGTGAATGGGAGGGTGTATTCTCTCTTCCTTTCCTAGCTCTATGACCATAAATAGGTTATATTACTTCTCTGAACCTCAGTATCCTTACTGTATAATGGGGATAATAATTCCTACCACAGATTTTCACTAGGAAGAATAAATATAAATGAGCCAAGAGCTCTGAAATTAGATGATCAACAACAAATGTGAGCTCCTTTTTCCAGTTCCTTCTACCCCTTCCCCTACCCTACTTCTTTCCCCCTCCCATACATGTTTACCTTTCCCATGTGTGAACATCAAGTATGTACTTATAGTACTTTCCCCACTTTAAATTCTTAAACCAAGTGATGTAATCTTTGTATATTACTGCAAAATTGTCTAACGCAAACTAATTTAAATGACTTTTGGGGCATACATATTTAGAATTGTTATGTCTTCTTGGTGGCTTGACCCTTTCTCATTAATGTAATATCCCACTCTGTTCCTGGGATTTGTCTTTGCTCTAAAATCTGCTTTATCTGACATTAACATAGCTGCTCCTGGTTTCTTTTAATTAAAGTTTCCATAGTAATTTTTCCCCAACTTTTACTCTCAGCTTACCTATATCATTATATTTGAAGTGCATTTCTTTATAGATAACATATGGTTAAATTTTTTTAATCCACTCTTTCACATTGGTGTATTTAGATCATTTATATGCACACAATTATTAATATGTTAAGGCTCAGCCTGCCATTTTAGTTACCTGTTTGTTCTACTTGGTTTTAGTTTTTGTTTTTGTTTGTTTTTGGTTTTTTGCCCTGCTTTTCTGTGGGTAGCTTGAACACTTTAAAATTCCATTTTGACTTACCTATAATGTTTTTGAGTGCATCTCTTTGTACAGCTTTTTTAGTGTTTCTTCTTATTATTACATTATGCATGCATAATTTATCAGTCATCTAATGTCATCATTGTATCAGCTCAAGTGAAATATACAAACCTCACCTCCTTTTACACTCCTCTATTTGTGACATGAATATCTTAAATGTTTACATACACTGAGAACCGCATGAGACAGTATGAACCGTATGAACCGCATGAGGCATGATACAACTTTTGATCCAGTCATCAAGCATAATTCAGACAACTCAAGAGGACAAGACTTTTCTTGTATTTACCCATGTTTTTTCTCATTGTATTCTTCCTTGTAAATGTCCTTTTATTGTTTATTTTGTATTTGAGGAACTTACTTTAGACATTCTTATAAAGTAGACCTCCTATTGATAAATTCCCTGCTTCAATTCATTTTAGAATGTCTTGATTAATCCTTTTATTCATATAGGACATTATCACTGGATATAGGATGTTGGGTTTCATTTGGAATTTCATTCAGGGTTCATGATTCTCTTCCTTCAATACTTGGAAAATTTGTGTCACTTTCTGCTAGGACCTCATCACTGACTATGAGAAATCTGTTATTGTCTTCTAAATTTTTTCCCCTGAAGGTATAGATAAAGTGTTGTTTCTTTTTGGTTGTTTTCTAAATCTTTTCTTTGCCCTTTGTTTAGAAGGTTGATTATGATGTGTCTTGGTGTGAATTTTTTCACATTTGTCCTGAGAGTGTTTGTTTTGCTTGTTGAATCTGGAGTTCATGTTCTTTGCTCAATTTGAGAAGTTTTAGCCACTATTTCTTTAAGTACCTTCCTAGTCCTGATTCTTTCTCAGGACACTTGCTGAAATAAGCAAGAGTGGGTCAATGAACTTTGTATACTAGGTGCTCAATAAATAATAATTCCCTTCCCTTTACACCCTTGCAAAAGTAGAGATGCAACCCCTCAAAGGACAAAAAAAGCTGAAGTGCTTCCTTATACTACCTACATGTGTGAGTCTCATCAAAGACATTCACTCCAAGGGTTAAGCTTCTTGTTCCAAGGTCTTATTTCTTAAAGAGGCACACTTGATATCCACATCATTTTCCCTAGGTTCCATGAAAGCACTAAAGGGAGACTGTCCAACCCAGGCCACCCTCAGAATGAGGGTGGAAGTTGGGGTCGTGGAGGGGGGACTTGTTCTGGCAAAGCAGAGTAGGTGAAGGAAAGCCTGCTACCAGCCCAAACAGTTCACTTACCTGACTACACTGTATTCTGAGCAAGAACAACATTATCGCCTTGCCACAAGCTGCGACTGGAAGGAAAGGGTCAGGACGCAGGCAACTCCCACTTTATTGGCCTGTGCTTCACCTCTGGCGCCTCAAAGCTGCAGCTGAGTTCCCACCATCTGGCACAGAAACCACCTCCCCCGTCTCCATTTCTCTCATCCCCCTTACAGAGCAACGGGTAGGAGAGGAAGAGGGTGGTGAATGTGTGAATGCAAAAAATAATCACGCGCAAGTGCTAGCGGTCCTACTAGTCCCAGCCTGCCAGATACTTCTGCATCCTCAGCTCTCAGTCCCTGGCGGCCACCACCAGCCCAAATGCGCTGTTGTTCTCAAAAGGCTAGCCTGAGCTCTAGGTCCTGAAGTTAATGAGGCTGAAAAAATTCTTTACTCGGAGAGAGAAAGGAGTCACATACACCACGGAGCCAACAAACACTTAAAATAAATAAATAAATAAATAAATAAATAAATAAATAAATAAAATGGATCTAAGAATGCCGCCCCCCAACTCCCACTCCAAGATGAAAAAAGCTGTCTTGGAACGACCACCACCACCACTACCGCCACCCACAGCCCACTCCCACTCCACCCATGCCGTGTTCTCCCCAACCCCCGTGTGTCTCCATCTGGCTTTCTCTCTGACATCTGGTAAATGGTCTCTCTTGGTCAGTCTCTCCGCTTGGTTCAGTTCCGACGCTTTCCAGCCTCTCTCCCATCCCTGAATTCCATGAATCTGTTTCTTTCCCGCCCCTCTCCACAAGTAGCTTAACAATAGATACTTTCTGTAGGTAACTCCGCTCTCTCCCTCCCGCAGCGTGGGGATTCTGGGGGCCTCAAGGGATCTGAGGGGGTGCTGCAATGTTCCGCTTACCTGATCTCTTTAATGCTTTCCAATTTGCACATGATTTCTTGCTCATCTGCCATGCTTTTCACTCTCAATTTCACGTCCCGAGAATTGTACAAACACACACGACCAGGGATACAATAGACACGGCGCAACCAACGCCTCCGGGCATGGGGCTCTGAGCCTGTGCGATAGGGATTCAAAGCAGCCTTGGGAGCTGTAGTCCGCAGCTCCAGGACCAGCCAGGCAGCCCAGGGAGGAGCGGGACTACAAATCCCAGAAGGCCAAGCGAGATATGCCAGTTTCTCTTCCTGCAGTCACATTTTAAATCAATTTGTCACGGATAATTGTCAAAGGTTGTGAGGTGTTCAAGGGGATTAGGCTATTCGACTGGCCCCTGCGGAAAAAATGGGAAAAAATACCCCAGAAGGCAACTGGAGAGATAAGAGACATACTCACTTACACCCTTCCTGGGGCCCCTATGCCTACACACTCCCAAAAAGTAACCAGGAGTCCCTAATTAGTGGATGCTTTCAGTATGGAAAGAAACCCTGCAGAAGAATTCTCTTTTGAGATGTTGGATGTACTGGCTGCTGCCTGGGAATTAGTGGCTTTGGCATTCAGATGGAGATGAGGGGGGTGGGATTAGAGAAGAGGCGGGAGAGGGAGGAGGGAGCAGCTGCTAAAGCTGGGGAAATGGGGGAGTGACCTAGTTCCTTTCAGTCCTCCATCCATTCTAAAAACAGCTACTGAGCTCAGATCTTTTTATTCTTTTCTTTTCTTTTTTTTTTTTTAAATTCAATGTGGTGTAGTGTTCAATGATTCATTAGTTGTGTGTAAACTCAGTGCTCATAAGATCAGGTGCCCTCCTTAATGCCCATTACCCAGTTACCTCATCCCCCCACCCACCTCCCTTTTCCACAATCCTCAGTTTGTTTCCCAGAGTCAAGAGTCTCTCATGATTTTTCTTCCTCTCTGATCTCTTTCCATTTAGTTTTCTTTCCCTTCCACTGTGATCCTCTGTTCTATTTCTTATATTCCACATATGAGTGAAACCATATGATTATCTTTCACTGACTGACTTATTTCATTTAGCATAATCCCCTCCAGTTCCATCTATGCCAGTGTAAATGGTAGGTATTCATCCTTTCTGATGGCTGAGGAATATTTATTGTACATATGAACCACATCTTCTTTATCCATTCATCTGCTGAAGGACATCTTGGCTCCTTCCACAGTTTGGATGTTGGAGACAGATTTTGCCAGTCAATGAAGGAGATACTGGCAGGGGGGTGGGGTGGGGGGAGATCACTGGGTGAGGCAAAAATAAATAAAAACAAGTCCTTAGCTTTGAGGAAAAGGAGACTGTAAGGTGACCCATTAATTATGGTACAGTGTTCTATCATAATACAGGAATGAATAAGGTGTAACCTGAGCAGAAAAGATGTAAGTAGTTTTTAAAAGGTGACTGAGAGGGATGTCTGGGTGGCTCAGTGGGTTAAAGCCTCTGCCTTTGGCTCAGGTCATGATCTCAGGGTCCTGGGATAGAGCCCTGCATAGGGCTCTTTGCTCAGCAGGGAGCCTGCTTCCCTTCCTCTCTCTGCCTGCCTCTCTGCCTACTTGTGATCTCTGTCTGTCAAATAAATAATTTTTTAAAAAAGGTGACTGAGAATTTGCCAGACCATTGAGGAAGATGGACTTTCCAGGAGAAGGCACAGCACATGTAGAAAGGAAAGAACAAGTAGGCCATAGTGTCGCAGTATAAGGTTCACATAAGGGGTGTGGAGGTGGAAAAGAGGAGTGGGAAAAGTATTTAGAAAAGGTCGGCTGGGGCCAGAATGTGAAAGACCTTGAATGTCACACTAAAGAATTTGGACTTAATCATATAGGCACACATTTATTCAATACACATTTATTAAATGCTTACTTGTGTGCCAAATAATGCCAAATGATTTTATGTTTCAAAGCATGGGAATAATAAGATTGGAGGGATGTCTTAGGGAGGTGACTCTAGAGGCAAAGTGAAAAAAAAATGGTTTAGTGGTGATGAGAGCATGTGAGAAAGAGTTACTCTGAGAGCACAGGCCCAGAGAACTGGGCTTCAGACAAAAAGAGGACTTTGGTTCACTCTCAACTAAAGGTGAATCAGAACTCTCTATTTAGCCCTACTTTAAAGGCTTGTTGTGAGTACGCAGTGAAAACTTCCCCAATGGTACAGAATACAGGGTCTGATATTTTTAGGTGCTAGAGAAAAGTTAGTGGAATATAAATCTCAGGACATTCTGAATGTCCACACTGATTTAAATATATCTCGGGGGGGGGGAAGCCCTTCTCTTCTTTGGATCCTAGACATACCTTTCACAACAAAGAAATTCTTGGCAGTGTCACCCGATACTTTCTTTATGGTCTTGAAGATCCTTGTCATATAGTACTACTAGCTAGCATTTGAAGACTCTACAGTTAGTTGATCACAAAGACTGGGTCTGAGCTACCCTACCATAGAGTCCAGAGTCAAGAATTGGCCCAAGCCCTGTCTTATAAGAGGAAAGTAAAGGGAACAGGTCCATGTAAATGCCTGGCCTGTATCAGCTATTGTGCTGAGAGGCGCACGTGCAGTCACTTATTTCATCTTCAAAACCTCTATGAAGGTGGTAAGTAGATTCATCCCCTCTTACAAGGAAGAAAACTGACTCATATAAAGAAAGTGGTTTGGCCCAAGGCCACACATTAAGTTGCAAAACTAGAGCCTGGGCTCACGTTGGACCCAGTTAGCTGTAGATTAAAAAGGGAATCTGTATGAAAAAATATGGAGATCAAAAGTAAAATGGGGTTTTAGATTATGTATTTATGTCAAACATAAATTGCATTATAATACAAGTTAACAATGGTTTGAGGAGAAATGGAAGGTGTGTATGGTGATGTGTGGGAAGCAATTTAGGAATTTCCTTAGAGATTTTAAAACTAATGTTTCTTTATCTCACTATCCACTTACTCTTAGAATCTTAGTCTTGCTCTGTTCACATATCTGGTAAGGGTCTAGATGTGGCTTTGCATCTGTTTAAATTAAATGTATTAATAGCTTCACAGTCTGATTTTGAAAGTAATTTTGCAAATATCTTGTCTTTTAAGCCTCATTAAATCCCCATTTCACAGACAAGGGAACAGTCTACAAGAGGCAAAAGACTTGTCCAAAGTCACCCACCCTGTCTGACACAGAAACAGGACTCCTAACTCAGGGTCTTGTGCTCTTCCTGTAGACCCATACTGCCAATATCAAGCTGCTGTGGTCCCCATGGAATCCAAATGTCTCTGTTCAGCCAGGTGGTGTTCTCCAATTGGGGAACCTGCAGAGCGCCAAGTATGTCCTATGCTCCCAATCCATAGATATTAAAAGGAGATGAAAAGTTAATCTAGGAGGAGGGATCTTGGGAGCCCCTAAAGCTTGAAAGGTTTATGCTATGTGTAACAATCAAGTTGTCCAATTAAGGAAATGGTTCTTAAGCCTCTTAACATCAATGAGTTTATCTTGGCTTCTTAACCTCTTTAATAACAGGTATCTCACCTGCTCTTTACTGAGTTGTAAGAAACCAGGCTAGCAAGAAGGGAAGGGAATTTTTAAAGACAAGAGAGGGGAATAGAAAGAAATTATAGCCTTCTGCTCCTTCTCCTGAAGCAGTACTTAAAACAATACCTTTAAGCCAAGCTGGTAACCTTCCTACAGTAAGTGTTTAATAACTCTCAATTGATTAGAAGTCTGTAATGGATGAGAGAATATTTAGGAGCCCTGCTAACAGTGCGTTCTAATGCATTATTTTATTTAGAAAAACTGATTGATTTGAGGTGGTGGGGGAAAAATTAGTCCTATCAGGTCCAACATTGTCCTTATTAATAAGAAAGAGGTAAGAAGGACAAGGAATGTTGGGGTGAATATCATTAAAATGCAAGAAATTAGCAAAGGAGAAGCTAGCCAGATACTTGTTTACATTATGCTTTCAGGAAATAGATCAAGATTTAAGAGTGGAGGCCAAAATGTTTGAATTCATGTATCTTTTCCTGTGCTTCAATACCGAACTGAGCCAAAAGAGGAGGCAGAGGTGTGACAATTTTAAATCTGAAATGCCTTTCAAAAAATGCTGAAAATGCTTATTAAGTTTCTCAAATCATGTTTCTAAAGTAACATTTCTTTTTTTAATTTTTATTTATTTGACAGAGAGATATCACAAGTAGGCAGGATCCTGGGATCACGACCTGAGCCGAAGGCAGAGGCTTAACCCACTGAGCCACCCAGGCACCCCATCTTAAGTAGCATTTCTAAGAGAAAAATAAGTCAAAGTTTTGGGGTCATTTAGCTAAAAAACATTTATTGTGTACCTATTATGTCAGGCACTATGGTAGGCAGGCAAGATCCCATAATAGATATAACAGACATAGGCCCTGCCCTCAACAAGTTGCAGGTTTGTTTGTTTGTTTGCTTGAGAAAGAGACCAGTTATATGACAAATATCACACAAAATTATATAGCAATAACCAGCAATTAGGGATTGGAAGAAGTCTGGGTTCTGTGAGTACAAGTAACAGGAGAACAAACTAAGTACTAGACAGAGGGCAGGGTTATAGTAAAAGGAAATCTTCCCAAAGGAAATGAGGCAGGAAAGGAGCAAAGGAGTAGGAGGCATCAAGGATTTATTCTTGCAGTCAGCCTCCAAATATTTTTGGGGCACCTACTACATGCTAGACACTCTTCTAGATACTGAGGATGTAGTGCTTTGCATGTATTAATTCAGATTAATTTTTGCAAGAACTCAAAGAAGTATTACTGTTATTATCCCCATTTTATAGACAGGCAAGCTAAGGCATAGAGAACTTAGGTAACTTTGCCAGAGTCACTCAGCTAATAAGTGGCAGAACTGAGATTTGAATTTAGACAGTCTGGCTCTGGAAGTCATGCTCCTAACCACTATGTTCTATTGCTTCCCTAAGTTTTCTGTCCACATGAAGTTTACATTCTAGTGGGAGGAAAAGACAATAATCATGGAAGAAAAAAATATATTAATTTTATGTGTAGATAAAGCCAATAAACAAACTAAAAGAAGAAAATGGAATTACAGTAGTGTAATAATTTAGGTAGAATTGCC